CTTTATTGTAAGGCTTTGATGGATGACCATTATGTAAAATTCTTGGCTGCAATGCGTACTCATCGTGTTCCTTCACCTTACCATTCCATGCTTACGCATTTATTCAACGTTACTCATAAATTCCTTTAGGCTCGTAATGATTTATTGTTGGTCCAGTCTGACAAGTGCAAGGCCACTATATTAATGTATAGGGATTCTTACATTGGAAAAATTGATGACCTATTGCAGAGTTATATTAGTACTGGAGCTTGTTCAATATTCATCGGTGATCAGGACCAGCTTTCTCGCAAGATTCAGGCGCAGTACCGGAAGGTTGTTAATCCTTTGTGTCGTCTTCATGCTGCTAAACCTAATCTTTATCCCTCCTCTATAAATGCTAGCCTTAAGAAGTTATTATCATCCTCGCCAACCTTCCCTTATCTATATGGAACTATCAAGACCCATAAGCTTGACAATCCGGTCCGTCCGATTTGCAGTCCCATTCAATGGTACTCTCACCCCTTACACAAGCTATGTCAGTTTTTCTTATCTGCTGCTCTCCAGAGTAAGCTTTCGTGTCATAATCTGTCTAACATTAATAAGCTTACCGATCATTTACTACAATTGCAGCCTCGTCCAGGTTATGTATTAGTTACAATGGCAATACGAGAAATGTACCCAAGTACTCGCATCCCTCCTTTATGGGATTTACTGCAGTTTTTTATGGGTCAGGATTGGTTTAAAGCTGCTTGCCCTATCGATGTCAGTATGTTGCAATCTATATTAGATTTTATACTCCATAAGGCCAATTATTTCACATTCAATGGTGATTTGTATCAGCAACACGAAGGGTTACCACAAGGTGGAGGGGCCTCTGGCTTATTGGCCACCATATTTCTAGATGCTCAGATTGAACTTAATTATAATCCATTGTTCTTGTCCCATAGTGTTTTAGCTTGGTGGAAGTATATCGACGATGTGCTCCTCTACATGCCTTCTTTCTCTGTTTCTAGTTTTATGGATGCTTTTCCCCGTCTCATTGGATACGACGTAACTTATACTGTAGAAAAACCAGATCTCAAATATAGTGTTTACCCTTGTGTTGCTTATCTCGATCATCGTATTTTCCAATCCTCTCATGCTTTCTTAGTAAATGTCTATCATAAGTCCACCGAATCCATGCGTTTGACCCATTATACTTCACATACATCCATTAAAGTTAAGCAATCTGTACTCTCTACTCATTTGCGTCGTGTATTTTATCGCACTAGCGATACTTTCCTTTCCGTAGATCTTGCTGACTGTCTTGTTCGGTTCTATACCAACGGTTATCCTCAGTATCTTGTCCATTCTGAACTGGAAAAATTACTCACCAACTATAATGAGCCTTATGGTCAACCTTTGACTTCTTATCGCCGCTCTCTCATTTCTAAATTCCTCTATCCATATGGGTTACCAAATGGCCATATTTATCCTAGTCTCTTCAATCCTACTTCACAACCTAAACTGTATCGTCGCAGTATTGTCTTCAGCTGCGAGGATTTTGTCAAAATATTGCATCATGCTCTTCACAAAATAGATGGTAGTGTACCAACATTCTCTAAAGCTAAAAGTTTATTCTCTGCTTTACATATGTAATCTGCCTCCTATCATCTGCATTCATTGTTCCAAAAAAGATATGTTGCAGCGATCCAATGAATTCAAATAGTGCTCTTTTAGATCTTTTAATATTTTGTGGAAATAGATATTGATTCGTGTTCTTCATATTCTCAACTTGCCGTTTCATTGTGTCTAAAAGCCGATTACACTGCCCTTCAAAAGTTTGTAAATTTTCACAAGTCTTACTCATTGTGATTAAAATTCTATCTGCTTGTTTTATTGTGTCGAAAAATGAGTTTAAGTTAAAGTATACTACCATATTCCATGATGATGCAACTACGTCCACTGATCCGATGTGGTTGAATATAAAAATAAATGCGATGAATATGGTAAGAATATTAAGGAACTAAAGGAACAGGATGGGCGATATATGAGATTACAAAATGATCATATATCAATAAAAATTGATTTCGAACCGGAACTTCAAAAAATCGAAAAAAAAGAATCTGCAAAGAATAGTTTTCATGATAGCTTGAATTCTTGTAATGCATCAACAGGTAATCCCTCAAGTTCTTGTAAAGTCCCAAGGACAGGTGACAGACTTGCAAAAACAAATAAATTTTTACGGAAGTAGGATACAGGATGCAGAAACATATCTACAAATGACCAAAATGTACTTTTATATTAGTGAAGTACACTGATATAGCAATTTTGCTATATCCGGCTCGAAGGACCAAAATGTACTATTATATTATTGATCATAGCACTCTTGGTATATCCGGCTCGAAGGACCAAAATGTACTGATTATATTATTGAAGTACTTTGATTGAGTATTTTGTAGTTACTGATTTTATTTAAAACAATGTTGTGTTTTTATACAAAAATATCTTAAGACTAATTTCTACATCAAGGTTAAAATAATATGATTTTATTGGACTGTATTACATTTTGTTATTGTTTGTAAAAAAAAGTTTAAAAAAGGTTAAAAAAGGACGAAAGTCCCAACACTAGGGATTTTCCTTTTATTGTTTTTATGAATATATTTTATTTTAATAATTTAGATACGGATGCTCAAAAATGTTACTATTTATCTATATTTTTCCTTAGTACATTCCCTTAGTACATTCCTAAATCGTATCCGTATCGTGATTAAAAAATGCACGATATGCAAAGAAAATAAATATGATAGGCGTCCTGGTAATCAAGTTTTAAGTGCCACCCCAATGCCAACACATCCTGGCCATACTCTTCATATCGATATTTTTGCAACCAATAAAAAGAAGATCCTTACCGCAATCGGCAAATTTACAAAGTTCGCCGTTGTTAGGATGTTAGATGGCAAGAGTACTGAAAACATAAGAAACCCGCTGAGAGAAATTCTTTTTTATTTTTGAGTCCCAAAATCTGTTGTTTTCGATAACGAAAAATCTTTTAATTCGCAGTCAATCAGGTTCATGATGGAAAATGACTTAAAAATTAATATCTTCACCACCCCTCCTTACAGAAGTGAAGTAAATGGACAAGTAGAGAGATTCCATTCAACTCTTGCTGAAATCATGAGGTGCCTAAAACAGGAAGATTCAAGTAAAAATTTTACAGAACTGGTTGAGACTGCTGTGAACGAATATAACCACTCCATTCATTCGGTAACAAATAAAAGACCTGTCGATTTATTTTTTGGAAGAATATTAAATTTTGGACCAGAAGACTATGAAAAAAACCCGTTTAGCGAACTATGAAAGGCTATTGGATAAACAAAAAAAGATATGAAATATCATAATAAAAATAAGGAGGAAGCTAAAGACTACGAACCCGGACAGGAGATTCATGTAAAACAAAACAAAAGAATAGGGACTAAATTGGCTAAGCGTTTTAAGAAGGAAAAGGTGAAAGAAAATCACCACTCAACAGTTTTAACTGAATCTGGTAGGGTGGTGCACAAAAATCATATTAGATAAGAAGAAAAAAATTACTTATAATATTTAATAAAGCGCATAGCGCTGCCAAAGAACTGTGTTCTCTGCATACTAGACGAGGATTGAGCCAATCAATTCTTTGACTATTTTGACTACAATAAGGTTTCCCATACCGCGCACGGCTTGGTACACAAAACAATGTAATATTACCAAACAAAAGTTTGTTTTAATTTAAGCAATTTTCTTAGAACCAAAACCATTACCGTCCGCTCACTTATAAGCTATTTTTGTTTCTTACTCACATGTCTTATTTCTTAATCACATGTATTTAATAAATTAAACATTTTGCACACTTTTACAAAATTCGCAATTCCAACGACACATGCCAAAGAGCTGTGTAATGTTAATAATAACCATAATAATATAAATGGTAATCCATCAATATTTTATTTAACTTTTAATAAAGCGTATAGCGCTGCCAAAAGATAGAATATTGGTAATTGCTCTAATAATATAATGTAAATCTATTAATATTTTACTTAACTTATAATAAAGCGCATAGCGCTGCCAAAAGGTAAAATATTGATAGTTATTATAATAAAATAATAATTATTCTTTTCCTTATTAACTACGTAATTAGTTATTATAGAATGCACAGCGTGGTTTAAGAAAATATAAAATAATATAAAAATTTTAATAGTTGTCGTTTTTCAAGTTTTTCTGAGCCGATAGGTTATGAGAGAAGAGAAGAAGAAAGAAGAGTAACTGTGGTAAATTAATTTTAAGGAGTAAGAGTGAATGAATGAATGTAAGAATAAAGAAAACAATATTTAATTCCTTACTAAATAAAAAAATTGTAGTAAAAAATGTTATAATATAAAAATTTTTTATGGAAATTAAATTGGAAAAATTAATAATTAATAATTAATAAATTGTATTTTATGAATAAATTTAAGTAAGCTTGTAAAAGTTTTAAATGGAAAAAAAATTGTAAATTATTGAAATTAAATTTGAAAAAATTATAAGTTAAACAATAAATTAGTTATTTAACTTTGTAATTATATTTTATAAATAAATTTAAGTAAGCTTGTAAAAATTTTAAAATTGGAAAGAAAATTGTAAATTATCAAAATTAAGTTGAAAAAAATTATAAGATAAACAATAATTTAATTATCTAATATTATAATTATTTTTATGAACAATTGTTAATAAGTATTTAACTCAATAAAAATGGTAGCTTTAAGTGGGAGTGTCGGGTTCCTTTTTGCGAGGTGGAGAGCGGATGCGGTGTGTGAAACTAGGTACAGGGACCCAAACGAGGACGTTTGAAATTAGTAAGGGAGGAGTTAACTCCCGCGTACCCCGAAATCCGGCCCTGTGCTTAGTCTCATTAACGGAGCAATCATGCGATGTTGTTCGAACGCATGGTTGCTACCAAACGGGATTTCCATTTGTTTGTCTGGAAAAGTCCCGTTTGGCTTCGGTATCTCCTAACTTCGCAAAATTGCGCTCGGTCTCTCCTGCTTCAGCCTCTGAATAAGAAACACATGAAATTTTTGCTAAATTAATAAAAATAAATATTTAACTTATATATATTATGCATTATTATTTATCTGTTGTCTCATTTTTTATTATTATTATTTATACTGTATTTGTTCATTAATTTAATAACCTATTTTTCATTTCGTTTTATTTATTTTATTACTATCATTTTATTTTATTTTTATTTTTGTTTTTATTTATGTATGTATATATATACATATTTATTTCTTCATCCATTATTGTTTATCTGTTTCGCATTTATATATTATTATATATTGTATTTGTATATTAGTTCATTTATCCATTTTTCTCTGCTTATCCACTCATATGTTCTCTTACTTGTTAATATACATTTAGTTATTCTATGTGTTTGTTTATATATTCCTCTCATCCATCTACTTGCTTATCTTATTCATCCACTTAGTTTATCAATTTTATCCCTCCATTCATTTATTTATCCATTCATTTGCTCATTCTTTTCCTTGGTTTATTCTATTATTTATTTATCTATTCATTCCTCTATTTACTATTTTATTCACTGTTGTGTTTTTATTATAGCCGCCGCTTTTTAATTCATCTCGTCATATCGGGCTCACATCTTACGGATTTCTATATCAGCAATTGTTATCTCCATGATGTCATCCAGACCCGCAATATCCGCCGGTCCGCATCCATGTGTGGCTAACACAACACCCATCATTACCCCTTTATCAACCATATCAACCGTCCCATCAGGAACAGAAACGGATCCCAAACTCATGGCCTCATGCCCAAAGCCAGCAACAGACCCACAATCAAGACCACTCCTTGCCACAAAAAGCGTCACTAAAACTCCTGCTAAAATCGTTGCTAGAAAACATAATGTTGCCCAGGTCATAGCCAAGAATGTCATGGATACAGCCTCTTGTATAGTCTCTACGGTCCCCGTCACTACGACCTCTACCATCCCATCACGTCTGGCCCCCTCTGTCTCAGCATTTATGGGCAACTCTCTTCCGTCCCTGTCCCCACAGCTTTTCCCCACTGTACCCTCTCTTAATTACTTTCCAGCTCTTTACCCTTGTGCGATACCTGGGGATTTTATTAATCTCACTATAATCACTGTTCCGTTAGAGATGCGTATTTTGGTTAGTTTTGGTCCCAATTACTGTCCTGTTGCTCCGCCTACCATCTCCAATTACTACACAGCCCTGGCTCAGTATTACAAGTATCACACTGAATATCAAAATGATTTGGGACTTTATTGTAAGGCTTTGATGGATGACCATTATGTAAAATTCTTGGCTGCAATGCGTACTCATCGTGTTCCTTCACCTTACCATTCCATGCTTACGCATTTATTCAACGTTACTCATAAATTCCTTTAGGCTCGTAATGATTTATTGTTGGTCCAGTCTGACAAGTGCAAGGCCACTATATTAATGTATAGGGATTCTTACATTGGAAAAATTGATGACCTATTGCAGAGTTATATTAGTACTGGAGCTTGTTCAATATTCATCGGTGATCAGGACCAGCTTTCTCGCAAGATTCAGGCGCAGTACCGGAAGGTTGTTAATCCTTTGTGTCGTCTTCATGCTGCTAAACCTAATCTTTATCCCTCCTCTATAAATGCTAGCCTTAAGAAGTTATTATCATCCTCGCCAACCTTCCCTTATCTATATGGAACTATCAAGACCCATAAGCTTGACAATCCGGTCCGTCCGATTTGCAGTCCCATTCAATGGTACTCTCACCCCTTACACAAGCTATGTCAGTTTTTCTTATCTGCTGCTCTCCAGAGTAAGCTTTCGTGTCATAATCTGTCTAACATTAATAAGCTTACCGATCATTTACTACAATTGCAGCCTCGTCCAGGTTATGTATTAGTTACAATGGCAATACGAGAAATGTACCCAAGTACTCGCATCCCTCCTTTATGGGATTTACTGCAGTTTTTTATGGGTCAGGATTGGTTTAAAGCTGCTTGCCCTATCGATGTCAGTATGTTGCAATCTATATTAGATTTTATACTCCATAAGGCCAATTATTTCACATTCAATGGTGATTTGTATCAGCAACACGAAGGGTTACCACAAGGTGGAGGGGCCTCTGGCTTATTGGCCACCATATTTCTAGATGCTCAGATTGAACTTAATTATAATCCATTGTTCTTGTCCCATAGTGTTTTAGCTTGGTGGAAGTATATCGACGATGTGCTCCTCTACATGCC